GTTCCCGCCCCCCCCCCCCCGGGTCTTCTCCATACATTGGCCACTTTTCTTTTTTCCATTCATCCAATTAGAGTTGAACACTTTGTGGACAGAGTGTCGGCTAAGTATGCACTTGGGACTCGAAGACTTGGTGATGGTTAATGAGCTACTCCAGTTATCACTCTCCAATCTCCTTGACTTTAAATGGCATCTTTACGATTGGCTGAGTGATCCAGACAGGAATCTTGGGAAAGGCTGACTATATACTGATCAGTATCAAGACCCCTCCAACTGGCCTACAGTTCATTAAATGTTATTGTGAATTAGTTTTAACTTTTGTGTCTACACTGCTCACTGAAAAAGACTTAAGTGGTAATTAGGAGATTCAAGCGCCAGTACAGGCTTTAGCGTCTAACCTGGCCTGGATTTTAACAGAACCACCTGAGTTCTTCCTCAGTCACCTTGATAAGCAATCTCTTCTCCACCATTACCCAGTTGGGCAAATGTTAATTAGGTATTTTTAACAAGTTTATTCTTAAGGGAAATGTGTCTTGGGACATATATTTTTATACATTGTGGTCTTTTAAATAAGCTTGTATGAGGATCACGACAACACATCATCCTGAGAGTTACAGGCTGGGTTAGTGCTAAGACCTGTGACTGCCCAGTAGGACAGTCACACAGTCTCTATTCACAAGTAGTAATTCCTGCACCTTCTCTAAACCCAGGATGTAAGCTGCAGCTCTTGGCACTGCAGGATCTCTAGGCTATCTCAGTCACAAACCAAGGAGCCTCCTTGGAAGATTCCTCCAATGACAGTGAAATCTGTACCTGAAGTACAACTTGTCCAGTGTGGACATAAAAATGAACATGAATGATTTCTGAATTGGAAAAAAGGATAAGCAAGAGGTCTCAAGGCAAACTCACTATGCCGGAGCCTGGGGAGTCCCTCTGCAGGGCAGGCCATAGCTGCCCTGTTTCTTAACTTCTCGTTTTATTCAATCTTTTTCCAATCTCTCCCTCTCACCCTCACACTTTCTCTGGCTGTCTCTCTCCTGATTTGCCTGCTTAGGGACAGACAGGTAATGGAGAAGAAATTGAAAGGGAAAATACAGGGAAAATGTAAATGAAAAGAAGTTATTATAACTGTTATAATGAAGTGCCTTTCATTTAAATATAAGAATGTAACGCTGAAATGAACTTGTGATCCTGAAATGCATTTTTAATGAGTTTCCTTTTTATTTTGCTGCTTCAGTGGCATATTTTAAAGACCCTTTGAAAAAAGCCACATTAAAAACCCCACCAAATGCCACAACACGCAAAATTGGATATTGGTTTATTCCAAAACTGCTGATCAGGAAGAGTGACTCTTCATCACAAAATGTTGCAGTCACTTTATTTAAATGAGTTTGAATTTGCATTGTGATGTGCCATTCTGATTTAGGGAAAAAAAATTAGATTTTCAGATCAAATTGACCCAGCCAGTGAAGCGTTAAGCAGCTGGCAGGTCTAGTCTAAAAGCCTCGTGTTCTATCAAACCTGCAGCCGGTGGAAGTCACCAAGCCCATGGGAAACAACTTTCTTGCGGCCCGGCGGTCCTCCTGAGCAGCCCTCGCTCTTTTCTCACCAAGCCACCCTCTTCCCTTCTCGCCCACCCAGGTGAACGGCCTTTCCAGTGCAACCAATGCGGGGCCTCCTTTACCCAGAAAGGCAACCTGCTGCGCCACATCAAGCTGCACTCGGGCGAGAAGCCCTTCAAGTGCCACCTCTGCAACTATGCCTGCCGCCGCAGGGATGCCCTCACCGGCCACCTGAGGACGCACTCTGGTAGGTTTCCTGGGCATGGCAGGGATGCCAGGCCATGACCATCTCAGTAAAGGGGCCCTAGATCATGTGCTCCATGTTCGCAGCCACTGCCCTTCCATTCTACCCAGTCCTCAGCCCTCTTGGGGTGTTGGCCTCCTACATGGTGACCTGCTTTCCCTACTGAACAAGGGGAAATGGGTGGGGGATGAGCACAAAAGGAAGACCCACCTCCTTGGTGCATTTCAGAAAAGCCTTCTCCCTCCCACCATATCTAGTAAGTGGAATTTTTCTAAAGTGCACTGCTCTTGCCCTTAACTTTCCAAACACATCTCTTTAGGCTCATTGCTATGCCATACGTATTGCTGGCTTGTGTAGAATATGTTGAATAGTAGTAATAGACATAATTTTCCTTGCAGAGAGGACACAGGTTTGGTCAGAGTACACCAGCCCAGGGCACACTGCCCCAGCCAGAGAGTGGCTCCCATGCCAGAAACCAGTGGAGGCTTTGATGGGACTGGCCAGTCTGGAGCTGTCCAAAAATTACAGACAGCAAAATTTCCCTGTCAAAATGTCCCAGATACCCTGAAATCTCAGCACACAATCTACATGAATGCTGGACAGTTGTCCAAATGTTCTCAACCTGACACACAGACTCATCTTTAATTAGATATCATCTTCTGCCTCCTGAATAGCTTCTTACCCAGCAGCCCCACAGGCCTCTAGGTCTGAGAGAAAGGGATTTTTGTCCAAAAACTGTGTTATGTTTGCTTGAAATATGGTTGACATGATGTAAGGCACACAGGTTGCCCCCATTCTGCCCTGTCATGTGGTATCATGTGCTACACTGGCTTTAGGAGCACGAGACTGATGGGCCTTGTCCCTGCCCTCAAAGAGTGCCCTGTCTTAGCAAGCCATCACTCTGTCATTGCTCAGTGGCTTCTCTGAGCAGCAGCTGCACCCTTGAGACAGTGGCTGTGCAGAATGGAGGGCCTCCTATACCTCCTTCCCACTGCTAACCTCTTCCCAGACAGGAAAGATGCTTTCATGGTCCAATTCTTTGCCTGCATTGCCTAAGCCCCTCCACGGCATCCTCTGTGTGTGTGTGTGGCATGGTAGAGCTCTGAGGGTGCCTTAGGAGAAGAAAGAAAAGACAGTGTGTCCCGTGGGAGGATCAGGAGGGAGAGATTCCCACAGCAGAAGGGCTAGACAATGTGTTCGGTCCAAACTGAGTTTGCTTTCGGGGAGCTCTAAACAAGTGAGAGTAGGGTATTACTATGGGGCACATTTTAGCAGATGTTGGCCAGAGCTGGCTTTTCTAGTGAGTGGTCCCCTTCAGATGGGCATTCACAAGACAGCTTCTGGGAAGGAAAGGAGATAAGGCCAAGCATCACCTCCCCTCTAGTCTGCTCTCCCCCTGATGACACTGGACATGCAGGAGACTCACAAAAGCTTATAGCAGAAAGCTGTGATTGTGGTGAGTTTCTTGGCACTGCTGAGAAAGGTGCTGGCCTCCATTGAGGAGCTGCTCTCTCAGAGGGTAACGCAAGGGTCGAACACTTCCCTGTCCTAGGTGGGACACTAGCTGAGATCTGGGACGGGTTTTCTCCAAGGAATGAGAAGAACTGTAGGCACTCTGAGATGGGGGTAACACTGTCTACGTGTATTCGTGATGAGTATGTGCATGTCACTGAGTGAGGGTGGTGCCAGGGAGGGAGTGACATTCAGACCTGTGTAGGTGCCAGGTGTAAGAATCGTACAGTTCCTGCATGCTAGCAGGTGACAAAGAGAAAGCAGCTGCACATCTATCATTTATACGAAGTCACCTAAACACAATTGACAGGCACCATGCACTAGGGTTGGCAGCAAGCACAGCTTCCCAAGTCAGTAGAAAATTCAAAGACCTACTTTTAGGCTAACACCAGCCACAGCATTATCACCCTTTAATTCCTCGTTTACAATATAAATCTTCCCTGCATATCCATCCCTTAGCTGTAAGATGGCAAGATGAAATCTTGTGAAATTGGTGCAGGATTTGTGTTTTGCCTATATGCTTGCTCACTGTATTTGAGGTACTGATGGAATCCTCCTCTCAGTGTGGCTAATGACTTGAGTAGTTACATAAAAACAGGTGGTGGACTCCTGACAGGTTATTTCTGTCACAAGATCACCAATGAGCTAATAAAGACATCCATCATAGACCAGGGATGTTAATGACTCTATTGTCTGAAAAAATGCCCTTAAGGCACACAGCTCTGGGAGAAAAGAAACATTGTGTTTTCTTCTTCAAAGTGATTTTACTGGAATGAAAAACTTCAGCCTTTGTCTGCAAAGGCTAGCAAAGAGTAGCACATTTTACTCCTGTGTGAATAGCCAGGCCCATATTCCATTAAAAGTTGGGGATCAACCATATAACTTTCCCTAGCATCTGGTGGTGGTCTGAGGTTCTAGACTTCAGTATAGTAAAGGAATTTATGCTGATATTGGGGTTAGTACTTCTTTGGAAACTCCAAGCTTTGTTAGAGATAGTTTGGTTCTTGTGTTCTAGCATTGAAATCAACCATACCCTGAGGAAAACCCAGACACCATACCATTTACACAGGGGGCAATTTTGATTCACTAAATCGTTAACATTATAAAGTTTTCAGAAAAGTACATGGTGTAGGTGTTTATATTGTATTAATTTCTATGGCAATAGAATATAAATATGTAATTTTAGGCAAAATTCATTCCATAATTCATCATTATTTCCTAGTTTGGGGTATATCACTATCTCTAGACACAAATTCTGTTAGGGCTGAAGAGATGGCTCAGCAGTTAAGAGCACTGGCTGCTCTTCCTGAGGAGCCATGTTTGATTCCCAACACCAATTTGGCAATCCATAATCATCTGTAACTCCAGTTCTAGGGGACCTAACTCCCTTTTATGGCCTTTGAAGGCGGGCACCAGCCATGCAAGTGATGCATAGACATACATGCAGGCAAAACACCTGTATACTTAAAATAAAAATCTAGTCTGTAGATGAAGCTTTGGTTTCCATGAGAACGTCTTCATAGCATCTGGTCATCTAGGAAAGAGAGCTAAGTAACATCCACTGTAAACCAGTTACCAAGCATTTCTATTCGCATGGCTTTGTGTCATACTTTGAAATATATTAAATCCAGCAGCATGAGAAATGCAGTGTTGGCATCGGGGTGAAAAATCCATACTCCTCATAAAGTAATTGGAGAATATTTTCTCTAAATACTGTTTTTACTGAAGACTTTAAAAATGGCCCAATGTGGGCCCTTTGCTAGTCTTCTCCTAAAATACCACTCAAAAAACCCAGGAAAAGCTAAACTAATATAGAACAATGTTGTTCCACATAGAAGTCACTAGCCATATGTGGCGCTTAAGTTTTGTGAGTTAAAATTAAACAAAATCAAAATGTTAGTCCTCTGTGGCACTAGCCAAACTTGGAATGTCCAATGGTTCCATGAAGCTGGTGGCTGCCATATTGAAAACACAGTGAGTGCCACGATGAACAGATATGCAAAGAACACTTAGAACATTTTAGTGAGTTCTAATGGACACGAGCTGATCTGGAAGTTTCATCATCCTAGTGTTCTCTGGGGATAAAACAGAGGCTTTCCATAGGCTCTCCAATGCAAAATACATTGTATATTCTCCATGTATATGAAAATACAGTTTGGTTATCCATATCACTTTTCATTTTGTATTTTCATGTTGTATATTCTTAAGCAAGATGGTATGTACTGCAAATGTAAAATACGTTTGTATTATATACAAAGATACAATTTATAAATATTCATTTCATTAAAGCCTTTTACTGTCATGGTTTCTTAGAGATGTTGAGTGACTTCCTCAACTTTTTGATCACTTTATTCCATTAGATGTTGTCCCAATGAGGGGTCAGACCTGGTAGGAGGCCCACCTGACGGTGATGTCTAGTGTCCTCGTGTTTGTGTCCACTCTGTGGCACTGTGATGGTTTACTTTTTCCCATTAAAGGACACACTCCAGTGATTTAGAAAGGAGTTTTGTAGACAGTGTGATAGGTTAAGATAAAACAAGGATCATGAATTCTTGGTGCAATCAATGGGCATTAACATTTTTGAAATTCATTCATTTTGACCCAGTCCATAATAGTCATAGCTCCCAGAGAGTACATTTTTGTTTTTTACCTTTTTTTGTTATAATTGTATTGCATGCATTCCCTTTACCCAGAAGGCCAATATTTAATTGGAGTCTTAAACTCAATTGTGTTTTCTGCAGTTGGTAAGCCTCACAAATGTGGATATTGTGGCCGAAGCTATAAACAGCGAAGCTCTTTAGAGGAACATAAAGAGCGATGCCACAACTACTTGGAAAGCATGGGCCTTCCGGGCACGATGTACCCAGGTAAGCACTGAGGCTCCCTGCTGAGCTGGGCCCCTCCCCCTCCCGGCACCAGGGTCAGGAGGGAGCTCTGTGGCATGTTTCTGGCCATGCTGTCCAAGAGGAACTTTTTGTCCAGTAGTACTGCAGCTACACTAGGGACAGCCCATGTGTTCCTCTACTTTCCAAGTTCTCATCTGACCAGACATAGCCTGTCTTAAGACCTCCCTTACCAGTAGTGACCCTAGTAAGATTCTGTGTTGTGGGGTGTTTTTGGTTTTGGGTTTTTTTGGGGGGGAGGGTGATTTTTAAACCAAAAGGAATCGGCTGCAGCATTAGATAAGCAATAAAGACCTTGCCTTGTATGCAGGAAGCCCTGGATTTGATCTCCAGCACCACACACATACACACACACACACACACACACACACACACACACACACACACACACACACACGAAAATAAAAACAAGCTAGAGAAGTGTAGTGATTGATTCATTGTGTTTAAAAGTCCAAATAAGATGTGAGTCTTGAGCTGAAGAGATAGCTCATTGGTTAATAGCACTGGCTGCTCCTCCAGAGGTCCTGAGTTCAATTCCTGACAACCACGTGGTGGGTCAAAACCATCTATAGTAGGATCTGATGCCCTCTTCTGTCACAAAGGCATACATGCAGATAGAGTGCTCATATAAATAAAATAATGAACACTTTTTTAAAGACGTGAGTCTTTTTAAAAATTTCATTAAGGTCATCAAAGGAGAAGTGTTGGGTGGGGCTTAGACTGGGCTTTGAGTTTCCACACCTGGGAAGATAAGGGCCTAACTTGTTGGAAGACCCAGAAGTCATCAGTACTGAGGCTGTGGGAGAAGTGCTGGGATGTATACTAAACTCTACCTTGTTGTGAGAATCAGTTTCACCCTGAACTTCTGGTGTATCCTGGCTGCTGGCCAGGTGGTTCAAAACACTGCAGTGATGGCTTCATGCTCCAGTTCTTTCTCAAGAAATGAGAAATTACTCTAGCAGGAAGCAGCAGTCAGACAGCACAGCCACATAGGTGGGCACCGGCATTTAATTACACTGGGTTCTTCCTGCCTCTGCCTCACTCACATTAAGATACATAAGACCATCATAGACGCCCGAACCAGTGCCAGTCAGCTTCCCATCACTGTACTAAAAAGAAGACAGTTCTCCCTGGAATTTTGAAGATTTCAGCCTCTGGTTGGTAGGATACATTGCTTTGGGCATGCTATGCTGGAAGCAAGCGTGGGTACACTGAAATCCCCTGCTGGAAGCAGGGGTAATCATCACAAGCCAGGGAGAAAGAGAGAAAGAAGAGGCTAGGCACCCATGCTCCTGTTTGAGAACGTACCCCAGTGACATAAGGACTGCCCCCAAAGACTCCACCCTCAAGGGTTCTAGCACCTCTTTCTTGGATCACCCTAGACCCCCAGGACTCCAATATTTGGACCTTTGAGGGCCACTCCCATTCCAAATTAGAGCTGCCAAGGCCATGTTTATTTCACCCCTCCAACACCTACCTTGTGGATACACAGTGAGTGCTGGGTTAAGAAACTTGGCATTGCTGGGCTCTAGAAATGAACTTTAGTGTAAGTCCTGCCAATAAGCCTGTACATTCTTGTTCATTTCCCTCTCCTGACCCTCCATGTCCCTTGGGTCACCACATTAACTCCCCAGACCTATTGACGTTGAGTCCATTAAGCAAAAACTGCCTGGCTCAAGAGATGTAAGAAAACATTTGTTTTTCTGAACCAAGCTTCTTTTGTAAAATGGCTGGGGTCACTTGTTACACGTTGATAATATCTTCATGGGAAAAAAAAAAAAAAAAACTTTCTCCTGGGCCCCACATGCACAAAAGACAGAGAAAAAGGGTTGGGCTCAGAGGTGTGATATGGTCTCACCTGAGAGATGGAGACCTGGGCTAGTGACTGACTGAGCCTAGTTCACAGAGAAGGAAAGGCATGTAAATGAGCATATTAGCCTGATAGAGTACATGTAGGAATGACTTCCAGAATTAGGTTTGATGACTTTATTTCCTCCAGATAATCGAGTGTGGGCTGAATGTTGAGCTATTTAACAAGACACACATAATCCACTGTTAAAAGAACATGAAGCAGTAGTGTTCAACTACAAACGCAGAGTTTAAAGTGGCATTCACAACAGCACTGAAAATATAAAATACATAGGGGTCCTGTTGGCGTGCAGAGTACAGAGTAAGGGGCAGAAAGCTACCATGTCATCCTGGGCCAGGAAGAAATGTAGAAGATGAAAGAGGGAAAACAAGGTTGGTCCATCTATGAACATCCTCCCAAATCTAGGCATAGTTTTCACACAAAATTTTTATGGGTACTTTTGACATTTGATAGTCATTGATTACAAAAATCTCTCTGAAAAAATAAATGAGAATATTGGCAAGACTAGAGTTATATGAAGATGTGCCATCGCTCAAGGAACATGGAGATAAGCCAGCACAGAACTGGATAAACCTATGGTAAATCAACGTGATCTGTCTGAGAAGGAAAACACACAAGACAGAAACCGTGTTGGAAGAGCTGATTAAAAAGTAGAAGCTAAGCCAGGCACTGGTGGCACACGCCTTTTGTCCCAGCACTCGGGAGGCAGAGGCAGGCAGATCTCTGTTAAGTTTGAGGCCAGTCTGGTCTACAAAGCTACACAGAGAAAAACCCTGTCTCAAAAGAATCAAAAAAAAAAAAAAAAGTGGAATCTGATCACTGTACATTTTCAGGTCCGTAAACAGTAGGGTGTGTTTCAGGGGAATGAAGGAATTGTATTTCAGAAATCCCTGCCATACAAACTAGAAGTCAGCTAGATGAGATTATGCAGGAGACAGGCTTGGATCTTATGGATAGGGAGAGCTGGTAAAGAAAAGAAGATGGGGGCTGGAGAGATGGCCCACTGACTGATCAGTGCAGAGTTCAATTCCCAGCAACCACATGGTGGCTCACAACCATCTATAAGGAGATCTGGTACCCTCTTCTGGAGTGCAGGCATACATGTAGGCAGAACACTATACATAATATATAAATCTTTAAAAAGGAAAAGGAAGGAAAAGAAAAGGAGATGGACTGGTCTAGCTCATATGTCTGCATTTCCCTTCTTGACTGCTAGGCTTCCTACCCTGTGCTGCTGTGACGATTAGGAACTTGCTGTGTGGTTGCGGACTGTACCCTATAAAGTGGTGACTTCATACCCTTTGATCATTTCTGGACCTGATGATGTTTGGTTCTCATGGTTGTTGTTAGAGTTGGTTAAGGTAACCTTGAGACAGGACCCTCCAAAGTGACACAGTTAATTCTCTATGGTCCAGCCTTGGATGGTAGACACTCAAGCTTGTTGTGAGGTTGAGCAGGTGGAGGAAGGGGCATTAGCAGGCTGATTCTGCCAGGGGGCTGGAAGATGAGAAATAGGCTCTTGTTGGCACTTTGAGGTTGACACTGGATGCAGCAGCATCTTGAAGGGCAAGCATGTCTAAACTAGCTTCTCTGTCTTTGACTTTAGTCATTAAGGAAGAAACTAACCACAGTGAGATGGCAGAAGACCTGTGCAAGATAGGAGCAGAGAGGTCCCTTGTTCTGGACAGACTGGCAAGCAACGTCGCCAAACGTAAGAGCTCTATGCCTCAGAAATTTCTTGGTAAGAGTTAAATGTTTGCTGTCTCTTAACATACAACTATGGGGGTGTTCTAGACTCAAATGAAAGTTATTTCAAAGTAAAGGAAAAGAAAAATCTCACTTTTTGAAAAGAAAGTGATAAGATTAATATTTCTTAAATATTGAAGTTTTTTCAATATTTTTTTCAAATTGACAAACCTTTCAGCAGGAATTAGATAGGATTTCGTAGCATCTTGGTATGATGTTTCTGTGACCTCTCTGATGACAATTAGGACAATCCTCTCAGAGCTTCAATGCACATTTTTCCAGGAAGCCTGTGTAATGCTCCCATCAGAGGACAGCGAGGGCTAATAGGAACCAAACAGAGAATGGCCCCTCAGAAGTTTCAGTGATGGAGTATTGCAGCTAGAATTACTATTTTGACCATTAACCCGTCCTTGATACTATGAGGAATAATACAGAGTGAGCCCCCTTGCTTCTTGAGCCACTGCTGCCTACTGTCAATCATAGACAAGTGTTTCATGCCTGCCAGCTAGGGCAGACACTGTAAGGACAGGAAAGAAGTTGAGGCAGGTTCCTTAATGGAAATCACTAGCCTCGGAGACAGGCCTGAGGTCAGAACAAAGACACTTATTAACTCTATGACCTTGGGGAGATAAATCAACCCTTCCCAAGCCTGGGTTCCATTCTTCATTCTCATAGGACAATTGTGAGCATAAAATGCCCCTACAGACATAAAAACTTTTAGAAGCCCTCAGTGTGAAGGTCAACTATTATCATGGTCAAGAAAGGAAATCTATGTCCAGGAAAGGAAAAGAAGTATTCATGAAGCTGAGATGGACTTTAAGAAAGGGGTAGGACTTCAGCAGCTTACCACACAGTCATTGAAGGAGTCATGGGGTCTAGGCAGATGAGGAGAAATTACTATGCTGTTGGCGGGTTTGGAATAGGACCAGTGGGATATGATGGAGGGGCAGGTATGTTCCTAACTTTGCTCAAGTGCCTACTGGGAAGCAGCGGGAGAAGTTGTTCCAAGAAGCTCTGACTGTAACATTGATGGCCTTTACATGTCAACGTGAGCAATGTAGTCTCATTCAGAATAACAGAAGCAGGGGTATGTTCTCAGAAGGAGCAGCAACTTTGATTGTAGATACAGCATGGGCTCAGATTAACTGGAAAGGGGCAGTAAAGGAGGAGCTTAGATGAAGAAGGAATGGAAGTCAGGGTGGGGTTGGTGAAGGAAATCGTGGGTTTCCTTGCTTAGTGTGCCATTTGCAGAAAAGATGAAACCAAGTCTGGAAAATGAGAGTTCAGGATTTAATGTAATTATTTTGAAGAATGACACCCTGATAAGGATATCCCATGGAAACTATGCTAGAGAGAAGATGGAACTTAAAAAGTGGGCACACACACACACATACAGAGAGAGAGAGAGAGAGAGAGAGAGAGAGAGAGAGAGAGAGAGAGAGAGAGAGAGAGAGAGAGGAGAGAGAGAGAATTCACCAGGGCACCTACATCGAGCCAGAAAGACATAGTCAGGCTCTTGGGCAACAGCCTTCCTGTTACCGATACAACTAGGACTCCAGTTTTATCTATTGATTAAATAGAGGTTTCTCGTGGGAGGAAGAAGGGGAAGAGAGACCATTAGAAGACAAAACAGAAACCACTTGTTGGAAATCTTATTTCTGGGCTTTGTGTGTGCAAATGTGAGCTTCAGAACTGAAAGGAGGAAGGAGACTTAATTTCCCGATCACAGAAGGAGGGAATCTTGGGAAGGAGACATCTGCTGGATGACTGAAACTTTAGACAGTATCGGGTGTGAGGTCCCTATTTCCCCCTGCAGAGTGCACTGAGAACCCGAATCATGGAGAGTTTGATGGACTGCCCAGGGAGACTGGCAGAGATGAAGCAGCAAGTGTGGTCAAGGGTTGTGAAGAGCTTCTGACCTCAGGAGGCAGGGTGTGACTTCCTCTTTTTGATTAGGAACCTGAAGAATGCCCCATGCTTTAGTAAAGGCCATCTGCAGTGTCCTAAGGCTGTGGGAGACCTTACCAAATGGAGCATCTGAAATTTTACCATGGCTGTCCTGTGTGAATGAGCATTGTCTTGATTCACACGCTACAGGGTGAGAGGGAGCAACAAAATTGGTGAGGCAAAGCTGAGATGAGAAAGCCCTCTCCAGGGGAGAGGTTAAACACAGGAGGAAGTGGCATTGTGGGAACAGAAGGACCAGGATAGCAGAAGTGGAGTGTGCAAGGAAGAGCTCCTAGCAGCTGTGCCTGTTGGTGTTCCCCAGAGGTGATTGGCAGTTCATGTCCTAACCAGTGCCTCTTCCTGCCCTCACATGCCAGCCTTCCTCTCCCTGCTATGCGATGGCTTCCTACTGTCTCACAGTTCTCCATCTCTAAAACAGAAAGAGGTGCCCTCAAAGGGCCTAATATCATCATTAGGATGATATATTATTGTTACTAAAATGATAGATAGCTAATAAGAATTTTGACAGAAATATTTGATGGTTTTCAGTTATTCAAACCCAACATCCAGACCTTACCAGTACTAAATTAGATGAACATCATTGCAAATATCTCCCTGCCATATATATTTCAGCGGATAGGGTTACTCATAGGTGGATTACAATACAGAGATGTGAAGTAAATGCCTTTGGAAGTTTCCAAAGATACCACCTTAGAAAGATTCCAACTGCTTCTCCTGGGGGTGAATATATGAGTTTGATGTGCTTAACCTCTTCCTGTGCATTGCTAGAAAACACGTTCAAGTGACCATGGCACAAATGGCCATGGCATATTAAACATGTCTTAAACTTTAAGAGGTTCCTGACCCTCAAAAAAATATTCACTCCCAGAGGGAATTCTACTTTTTAAAAAGAATTACTCCCAGAATGAAAGTATTTATTATAAAGGACATTAAGAACTATGAACCATTTTTATTTATTTTGCTTTAGCATTGCCCATCTCTAGAATATTCACATTCTATTCAGCAATCATTACTCTTACATCATTTAGATATTCACTACTATGTATTTTAACATGTTGAAGAGTCAGACCCAGACGTCTTAGTATCATTTCTGTTTATTTTGCTTAATGCCTTCATTGAGTAGACCTTACATTCGAGCATCCTTTTTGTAGACATTCCATCTACATTGCTTTGAGTTTGAAGATATCCAACTGTCACCTTTGTACCTGAGGGGTTTCCTCAGGAGGATGTGGCCTTGGGTCACTCTTCCTTCTCAGAGATTGATAGATCATACCCCATTGGCTGTAGCGTTGCTTGTTGGATGGTACTGGGATTCTAAGTCCAGCCTGATTTTTTCTTTAATATGATTTTACTTCTCCATACAAAGTGTCTTTTTTTTTTTCTCCTTGAACCCAAAAGCTCTCAGTAAGAAGCATCCTAGTATTTTACAGGCTGGAGGAACCCATGCCTTCTAAACTGGGAGGTTCCTCTCTATTTCTTTTGGAAACATTCCTTTGCATAAATAACTTTTGTTCTATCTGTTGTGCTCTCTACTCAAAAGTGCTGGCTTTCAATAGTTGGATAAGTTGTCTCCCATATCTGTTATTATTTTCTTATTTTTAAGTTTATTCACTGTTATTTTATATTATCCCTGCACTGTCAGAAATTCAGTTCCTAGCCATTTTTATTCTAGTGTTTGCTATTTCTAACTCATGTATTAAGTGTTTATTGGATTGGATTTCATTTTGTTTCCTGAGATCTGAACCCTTCCTCTCTTCTGTTTGGTTTTTTTGTTTGTTTGTTTGTTTGTTTGGGGTTTTGTTTTGTATTGCCTTTGAATATTTTCTAAGTTTGACTGCTTGCATATTCCAAAAATTATAACAGCTAAAACTTAAAAATTACTTTTTACTCCATGTCATGAAGCAATTATGCTGAATTTCCCCTCTTCCAGGAATTAAGTTTCTTTTTCCCCTAGGATGGACTTACTGGTTTGTCTTACTTCCTTTCTTGCCAAAAAAATATTTTCACTGTAACCATGACATTTCTTTTCATGCTGCTCATTCTACTTGGTCTAATAGGGCTTGATTGACATTTCAATGTTCTTCCCATTGTATCTGAGACTTTTTCCTATGAGAACTATGACTTTTTTAAATCCTGAAAGAATGCCAAGGATGGTGTTGGGGGAGTTGAGGTGAGGCAAAGTGCTGCTTTTGTTTTAAAATGTTCCCTCTGAGATTTTTTAGATTTGGTTAAAGCCCTAATCCAGCAGACGGTGCCTCCTTCTCCACAGGGGACACCTCAGGGCTTCACTTGCCCTGCAGTGTAGCTCAAGGCCTTTGCTTCCATGCAGGGGAGTCAGCCCACAAAGTAAGCTCTCTGATGCCCTGTGCTTCCTGCCAGCAGAGCTTTCAGCTCCATGATCTGAAAAGGGAAAAAACCAATTCAGTCTATTCAATTGTTTCTCTGTCAGTGTGAGGATTGGGGAGAATGCTGAAAATGTTATTGATACTTCCTGTTTCTAGAAGTGGCACTGCCCAGAGCTTATCTTACGTCTTGTTCAAGAACTTTCTGTTCTTTCCTTGGTCATTGATAGATGAATGTAAAGTAGAAATAAGTAGAAGATGGATGGGTGGACGGATGGATGATAGACTTCACTGAGGCAATGGGGACTTCTGTAGCTTTCATTTTTCACATATGGGTAAAGGAATTCTATGGATGGATTTGTCACTCCAAGCTCATCTATAATGTATATTGCTTTCTTTGCAACACCCACTTGTTGTTGAAACTAAGTTCTTGAAACAGCAGGCTTCAATGGTTGCTTAGAAAACCACAGAACCACGACTCTGGGGAGAAACAGGAAAGCACCACCTTAGGTGAGAAAACACACACTTTGATGGCTCGCAGAACTAGGGCCAGGTCCACACCCTTCTCCATCGCTAGGCTTTGGCAGCAAGTGAGATGCTAGTGCAGCAAGAATGAGTTCTTTCTGTCCATGTAACCAGATAGGTTAGCACCTTAATTCTAAAATAATTTACAGGAAAAAAAATTTTTGGTTTTAGGAATGCTACATAACTTAGAGATGTTGCATAATTACATCCCCCGGGAATGGAGAGAGAAATTCCTTCATTGTGTCTACCATCTACTACACAGGGATTTTGTTCTGTCCAGTCTCTGAGAAGATGTAACTGGACATATACAAGTTTGTTTTCTATAGTCTGCAGATCATTCTGCGCCATATTCAGGCTATGTGTTGCTTCGGGCATAGCAGATGAAAGCAAATGAAGCCAAATAGTCATGTAGTACACATGCAGTAAGAAACACAATACAAAGAAAGATCATGGGGATAGAGCCCTAGGCTACCACTTTTTTATTAATTACATTTATTCATTTATTTTACATCCTGACTGCAGTTTCCCCTCTCCTTTTTCCTCCCATTCCCTCCCCCTACTTCTGCTCTGCCCTGCCCCCTATCCACTCCTCCTCTGTTTCTGTTCAGAAAAGGCAGGCCTCCCATGAGTGTCAATAAAGCATGGCATATCAAGTTGAGGTAGGACTAAGACCCTGCCTCATATTAAAGCTTGGTAAGACAACCCAGTATGAGGAATAGGTTCCCAAAAGCCTGCCAAGACATCAGGGACAGACTTCACTCCTACTGCTATGAGTCCCACAAGTAGACCAAGTTGTCTACAATCCTGGGCTACTATTAATGAACTATGGTAGATTTATGAATTGTGCAATAGTTTGTCCTACTGTAAGAGTTTGGGGGAGGTGACGACCTCAATGCCAGTGTGAAAGACACTGGGGTCGTCTTCTGTCACCACCCTCATCAGCTGCCTTCAGGTACAGCCTGACTGTGAGCCACCACTCACCTTTGTACATCTTCTGTCTGTCCTCTGACTGTGGCTGAGTAGATCACTTTCTTCAGATCCTTCACCAGTTTCCTTTTTTCATTAAACTAACTCAGTTTAGTCTAAGGTTCCAGGGAATGACCCCAGCTTCCATTTGGACATTGCCTATGTTCCTAGAGCTCTGGCCCCTGAACCTTCACCTTGCCCTACCAAAGCTCCAGGCTCCCTCTCCCCCCATGACCTTCGCTGCTGCTGTCCCCAGCTGTGGGACATAGAAGCCTACACAACCATCTGGCTCTTATGAGATGAGACGCCTGTATGACATTCTGGCAGCAAGCCTTCCTGTACTAGTGGGATTTCATGGATGGGGATGGAGTATGCCATCACTCCTGAATATGTATGTCTCCTGATAGCTGTGTACATCCAAGGATAGGGACCATTCTTACTGGCTTTCGTTTTAGTCCCGCTGTTGAGCCAGATTTATTGAAGAGGAAAGAGGCAGAGCGGGAGGTGAGATGTAAACAGTGCATGTGATCCTGTGGGCTACCTGATGTGTTCTCAATCACCATCACTGAGAAGGTTCACAAATGGCTATCCCTGCTAATAGGATATAAACAATTGCCTTAGTGAGAGAATTTGCTGAGTCATCTTAGTCTTAACATCTAGAAGATAAAACATATTTTTTGAGACAGGGTTTCTCTGTGTAGTCCTAGCTGTTCTAGAACTCACTCTGTAGACCAGGCTGGCCTCAAACTCACAGAAATACACCTGCCTCTACCTCCTGGGTACTGGAATTAAAGGCTTATGGCACTACAGCTAGAAGATAAATCTTTAAAGATATTTATTGTGAAATGCAATTAATGCGGGTCACAATGGAGTCAGAGCTCGTTTGATGAACAGATGGTTTATTAGGAAAGTACTCACGCAACGGAGCCAGTCCTGTACAACCAAGCGGGACTGTACTTCCCAAGAGGGAACAGAGAGAGCCACATACTTGCGACCCTCATATTTAAGGCCTTGCTATGTCACTCTGACCATGCCCAAGCGTGCATAGTCATCGTCACCTGTGCCAGCCCTCAAGTGGGCGTGGCCATCATTTCCCCCTATGGAGATTCATTTTATTTCATTAACAAAACATTTGCTCCAAAACTAATTACCTGAAGCCAAATCTAGACTCATCTCCCACAGGTTCCAGGGAAGGAGGTTTATGTTAGCCCAATGTTCCATCACTATAGGAAAATATCTGAGATATTCAACTTGTAAGAAGTTTGGTTTGAAGATTTGGAGGGCTCCTCTCCAAGACTGACCCTGTTGTGCTGGGCCTGTGGCAAGGCAGCACAAGTAGGTCATTGAGCAGAAATGTTTGCCAGATGGCTATGAAGCAAGAGGGAAATATATAGGGGTGAGGGTCCCAATATCCCCTTAAATATAGTCCCCCAAATCTAAGGTCTTCCCATTAGGCCCTTCCTCCCTAAAGAGTCCAGAACCTCCCAACAGCATGTGTCCCTGGGTCGTCACCAAGCTTCTTTGGCATTGTGATAAGACATTGCCATCTACAAATAGTCAGGCACATTCATAGCTATCTTGGGATACATCTGGTTTATGAGCCACAGGTTGGACAATAGCTGAAAACACGGGCCTTTGGGAACTTCCGAGGTCCAGATTATAGAAGAGTTCATGTAGTCCAAAAGCTAATGTGAGAGCTACAAGCTTATGCTCAGATAAGAGCATAAGTTTCTTTCTTCCTTTCTTTCTCTCTCTCTTTCTTTCTTTCTTCCTGTTTTTTTGTTGGTGTGTGTGTATATGTGTTTTCAAGACAACATTTCTCTGTGTAACAGCTCTGGCTGTCCTGGAACTCACTCTGTAGGCCAGGCTGTCCTCAAACTCAAAGAGATCTGCCTGCCTCTGCCTCCAGAGTACTGGGATTAAAGGCATGTGTCACCACCAGGAGAGCATAAAAGTGTCTTGAGTCCCAGGTCCACTCACTGCTGTTTTACCCTTGTCGCAGTTGCCATGTTTTAAACTACTAGCAGCCCAACTGCTCAGGCCATAGCCTGAGCCACTAAAGGTAGCTTTAACTAAATCTCTATCATTCTAATAAAATTTGAGATTCAAAGGATAGGGTGAAAACCTGCAAGCTCAGAGAGTTAAGTAGCAACTGGCTAACTCTCTTTCTTTGCTGGTGACCCTTGAAGCCTCTCTCCTTCCACACCGCCCCAAGAAAAAAACTGATGCTATGCTTGCTCCTCCCTGCTATTTCCTGCTAACTAGTTGCTAACCCCAGCCCGCTGAGCCTGGGTTAATTTTATTTAATTAACACAAATGCAACACATCTTTACATAACTAAACAAATGCAGCATAAACAAATGTAATACATCTTTGCCTAGTTAAACAAATATTCTACAACATGTCCTCCTTTTGTCTAAATAAAAAGAAAGATTTTAACTTTAACATAGTAAAACTGTATATACAATAGGAACAGTTATTAAGTAAGAATTAAAATTACAATATCCAGTCCCTTTGCACTTGGCAAATTCAGAGAAATCATTCTATTATCTATCCTATCTTGATGAGTCCAAAGCTCTGTACCTAATTTACCTTCTATCATAACTAAGGAAAACTGTAACTATAACTACCTAGTCTTCAACTCCATCAAAGACCCCAGAAGGATATGGTATTACCTGGAGTAAACAGGAAGTACAGAGCAAGAAACTTCCAAAAATATAAAAACAACAGAGACATTTGGCTGCCTGGACAGTCACCCAAGGTTTCTCTGCAACATTGGGGCATCCGTCTTTAGTCTACAGGCCTAGAATATCTGGCAGACTTTTTATGAAATAAGAGTTTTGAAGGACTGTCCTGCCTTGTTCTGGCAAAGTTCTGAAGTCAAGTTTCCTTTGTGTCCTGCATGTCTAGTTTGGACAAAGAAACTGTCGAGGTAAGGACAGTTTCTTGCCCAAATGGCTAGCTTTGCCACAATGAAAGCAAACTCCATATTGAGGTTCTTGGAAGTCCATCATCCTTTTATGTAGATTGATGCTACCAGAAGCAGACATGTCTCACTTTCATGAAAAGCCCTGTGCTATTAAACATCTTAAATGCCAGATTCTGTATGTCTCTGAAGCATTTGAAGATCACCTATCTAAAATATATCTGTTTAACACTGAAAGCATATCTAATATGACTACAAGTTTGATTATTATAGATGACTAACTACTAACCTGCATTTCTTAATTGTACATTACATTTTTAAAAGCACAACACCCCAAACAAGAGTAGAAACATACATACAGAATAACAAAAATAACTTTAAATTTGTATCAATATACCAAAATCCATACCACTGTAAAATATTGAGGTTATAAGTTGTCTTTTTATCCTGTATTCCTATATCCCCCCTAAACAATGACAAACATCCAAAAGCCACCAAATGACCAAAAACCACCCAACCCTGCCTCTTGAGAATGTGGATGTTGTGTTCTCTAGACTGATTCCTATTGTATGGAGGCAACAGCATCTCCAGGGGACCCTGAGAAAATTGAGACAGTGGTCAAGTTCTTGGAAAACTAGTTGTAAATTTGTTGTCCAGTCTCAGAACTGTTCCCATGCAGAGGGATCAGTGGCTTGTATTTTTTCTTAGTTTATTACTCTATGTCTGTAGCCAAAATTTTCAGGAGGTCTTCCCTGGTCAAACCTGATCTCTATTTGAAGGATCCACAGACTTTCGTTTCCTTTGGAAACAAAAGGATAACCTCTCCTCCAGTGCAACACATTTTCTGAATTCCATCTTAAGGTTAAGACACCCATAAAGTATCCAGGCTGGTTTAATTTAGCAATCCCTTTTAAAATCCAATGTCTCTCATCAGCAGATGTAATTTGCTCATCAGCATTCAAAAAATTTCAAAATCAGCACAATGCCATACAGGATCCAGACTCCCTGGCTTTTCTCGTTTATATTACTTTACTCTCTCCTTAAAGACTTTATTATTTTTAAATGATTTGTTTTTTTTTTCCTATGACTGTCTATACCCATTTATTTTCATTCTTAAGCACCTATGCACATTTTTAAACACTGCCACCTGTTTAGAGGTGACTTTGCACTAGTGGCTGGCTCCACCCCACTAGGGTCTGTGAGAGCTCAAGCTTTATGCCCTGCAGGCTTGGCCAAGAGCTGAGTTTAACTGGGAGCTGCATTTAACTGCCCCAGCTCTAGGAAGTTGGTGATTGAACTATGGCAGGCATTTTTACTTAGCTTGTTGTTTTTACTTAATGTTCCAGTCACTCAAATGTTTGTTGTATGCTTCTCTGTATGCTATGAGCACTGTGTTACTAGGAAGCCATGTTTGGGATTTTTTCCCACCTTTCTCAGTACCTACAGAAAAATACGTGCCCCTCGTTGGGTACCATTTGAGTTGGGGTTTTCTTTGGGCCACCAAACCATTCCCAAATAAAGACATGGAGACTTATTATTAATTGTGAATACTCAGCCTCAGTTTAAGCTTGTTTCTAGCTAGCTCTTTTTTTTTTTTAACTTAAATTAGCCTATTTCTATTAACCTATGTGCTGCCCCCAGGCTCATTTACCTCATCTACATACTGTCCATCCTACTTTTTTGCTTCCTTTGTTTCTGGTTGACTGGCCCCAGCTGTCTCCCCTTTTATCTCTGCCTGCCAGCCCCATCTATCCCTCCCTTGCCTAACTATTGGCCATTCAGCTTTTTATTAGACCAATCAGGTGCCTTAGGCAAGAAGGTAAAATAGCAACACATCTTTACATAAACAAATACAGCATAAACAAGAACAACACACCTTTACATAGTTAAATACTCTATTCTACAACAAGTCACCACTGAATTCTCAATTTCATTCATCTTTAGTATTAGGCATGTTTGTAAAGAGTAAGTGAATGGTGCTTACCTTCCAGCCTGCTCAAAAAGATTTTCTCTGTTTCCAACTTCTGATTTCTGCTGAGATAACTCACCACTGCTAACCATAAAAAGAGAGTGCATACAATTATGTTAATGTATTCATTCTACTTTCATCATGCATTGGAGTCCATCCACTTTTGAGATATTTATAAGAAATATTTAGTTTATTATAAGCAATATGTAATCATGGTTTGAGCACATGTTTTTCTAGATTAAAATGATAAATGTAATATAGTATCTTAAATTTATTACATATATTAATTCATGGCTGTGTATTTTAACAAAATAATTTTAGAATAAATTAAATAGTATACGTTTAGAAAACTTTTAAAATATTTGAATTCAATATAATAGTGTTAATTTTACCTTATCTAATGAAAGATGGGGTTTAACCCTGTGAAACATAGCTGTTTAAGCTTATATGAACAATCTTTAGTTTCCCTATACATGGGTAAACAGGATTTCTTAACGTGCCTAGGTACCTAGCATAGTAAGACCCTAGGCAGGATGTTCCCCTTTTCCCTCCTGTGCCTGGGTAAATGTGACCTACCTACTGTGACACTGGGACACCATCCAACCCTCTGGGTACAGATTTTACTAATGGTCACCTACTTCCCACAGGAGACAAGTGCCTGTCAGACATGCCCTATGACAGTGCCAGCTATGAGAAGGATGAAATGATGACATCCCATGTGATGGACCAGGCCATCAACAATGCCATCAACTACCTGGGGGCTGAGTCCCTGCGCCCGCTGGTGCAGACGCCCCCTGGCAGTTCCGAGGTGGTACCTGTCATCAGCTCTATGTACCAGCTGCACAAGCCTCCCACTGACGGCCCCCCACGGTCCAACCACTCAGCGCAGGACAGTGCCAGTGCCGTGGACAACTTGCTGCTACTGTCCAAGGCCAAGTCTGTGTCATCCGAGCGGGAGGCCTCCCCAAGCAACAGCTGCCAAGACTCCACAGACACCGAGAGCAACGCAGAGGAGCAGCGCAGTGGCCTCATCTACCTGACCAATCACATCACCCCACATGTGCGCAACGGGCTGGCCCTCAAGGAGGAGCAGCGCGCCTATGAGGTGCTGAGGGCGGCCTCAGAGAACTCGCAGGATGCCTTCCGCGTGGTCAGCACAAGTGGTGAGCAGCTGAAGGTGTACAAGTGCGAACACTGCCGCGTGCTCTTCCTGGATCACGTCATGTATACCATCCACATGGGCTGCCATGGTTTCCGGGATCCTTTTGAGTGTAACATGTGTGGTTATCACAGCCAGGACAGGTACGAGTTCTCATCCCATATCACACGTGGGGAGCATCGCTACCACCTGAACTAAATCCAGCCAGGCCCCACAGAAGCACAAAGATAGCTGCCTCTGCCTCCCTCCTGGCAGCTGGACCCATGGCGGACAATGTTGGGTGTGTATTTGCAGGCAGTATTTGTTCCTTTAAGTTGGTTGTTTGGGATTTAATTTGCATTAGAAGACAGGTTTTTAATGTTAGAGACAGGCTTGCATTGCATCAGGAACATTCAGAACATCCATGCATCTAGACGGTTTTATTGACTGCTAGCTGAGATTTCCCTGACCAGTGGCTTTCTGACCCACCCCCACTCCCAAAACAGAGCTGCATTTTCAGAGAATTAAATGAAACAATTATCCAAGAAGGAGGAAAGTGAACCTTGCCCTAAGCAGAGTTTAATGCTGCATGGATTCTCCAAATCCCCCAAAACATAATAGCCACTGGGGTGGGGCCATCTCAGGGAACTCCACAGGTGAGCCACAGGACCAGATAAAAGGCAGCTGGGAAGGAGCAAGGATGAAGCCTGTGTGGAGACCAGGGCCAAAGGTTGATCTTTGAAAGATACTAAAGTCATATATTGCATGGGAATATGGTGTCTGGACCAGTTGTGCTAGAGGATTCTTCTGGGCAAGACGGGAAGGGGATTGGAGAGCCTTGCAGACTCCTCTTCATATGCCTGATGGCACCCAGCTTCCTGGTGCTTGTTGCCCAGTGAGATGAGCTCAGTGCTCCTATGGGCACTTTTGGGTAGCCCTCTTCTCTTGACACCCCATGCCATTAATGGTCCCAAAGCTCATCACTGCATTTTAGACCCCAATCCTGAAATTGAGACCTTACTTTAAACTTCTGTACTTTAAAATTCCTCAGAAGCCAAAGCTTTCTTCCAAGCCCCACTCTCAGTTGTCTGGGTTTCTATTCTTCCCTGGATTGGTTGTACCTGGGATCAGGACCTAGCCCACCAAAGTGCAACTCCATCTCTTCATTTCAATTGAATCCCTATTTTGATTGTAGCTATGGACCTGGCTATCTTAGTCTGATAATTATCTTTCCCTACTCGAACCATTATTCAGAATGCCCATTTTTAGTAAATATATGAGCCCAGCATCTCAGTGGCTAAAACACAGAATATCCTTGTTTTTAAACAAAAATTTTAAATGTTCTGAAGCTCTTCAGTATAAACACCAAGTAGCATGTGTTTTCACATAGACAGGACAGGGAGCATGTATCCTTTATCAGGTAGATTTATTAGATGTACAGGTTCCCAAAGAGGAATGTCCACCAGATATCACAGGAAAGAAGCAGGTAAAGTGGTAGAGGTGAGATCTGGTCCAGCCAGACCAAGACAGGAATGCCATACTGAAGCCAAATCAGTTAGCTGGAGATCTTATCAGGATGGGCCTCTATTAAGAGTCAGTATTAAGGTCATTACCCTCCACCACTTCAAAAAAACAAAAAACATATACTTGTCAGTGTTTACAGCATGGTCTTCACAGAAACTCTCTGAGGTGATTCCGAAGAACTGGAGGGGAAATTGTCTGTAGCATCTCTTAGACTAAATCAGGGGTTCTTAGTCGCAGCCCTCCTAACACATGGCAGGTGTCATCACTGTTGGGGACTGTCCTATGAATTGTAGCTTACTTAGCAGTATCCCTGGTCACTGTCAATGCCAGTAGCATCCTACTTGATTTCCAAAACTGTCTTCCAGGTGTTCCTGGGTCAAACAAACCACTGATCTAAATTTTAAGCTGGTGGAAAGTATGGAAAGCTTTCCAAAAATCAAAAGCACTTGAAGTCTTCCCCAGTCAGCAGCCTCAAGCTGCACTTGCTTCTTTGGAAAGTGGATGAATTCTATTTGTGCATTTGAGACTACACTTCCTCAAGTGCCTCTGGGTTCAGTTGCAGGAATGAAGTTCACCAAGGTGTCACTCTAAAGTGTCAATTTCTTTGCTTCCAGAACAATGTGGCATTTTGAAAGTGAAAATAAAATTGCAACTATAATGGTTTACACTGAGTAAAGGGAGAATTTGAGGAACTAGAGCTGTGAACAGCTTTTGTTCAATATGCAGGTAAGGAGAAAGGCTGGCCTTACCCAAATTCATATATTCCAGGTGATAGCCTTCCAAGAATCCAGTTTGCTGGCAGCTCACCCTTGTCCTTATCTGTGAGAGCCACAGGGTCAGCTGGTCCAAGGGAGATGACTCCAATCCCCACCCCCACCCCTGCCACTGGCATGCAGAGGTTGAAGCAGAATTGTAAATAGTGGCTTCAGGAGCTGTTTTCTAGAATGCTTTGCCCCTTCCTCTCACTGCCTTTTTTAGCTGATATAAATGTCTATTTGCACACCTTTTGTTGTGGTTTTATATTATAACAGCATTTTTTGAAACTATTGTATTTAAGATAAGGTTTCATATTATGTCCACAAGTAATTAAATTATGTTTGAAGGTGGCTATATTCTGTATCAAAAGTTGATGTTTTTCTTTAGCTGGTAAAGTAGGGTTTTGCATGACCTCACTTTTTGTTCTGTGGTTTGTTCTATTGTATGACGTGTGTCTTCAGTATTGCTGTGTGATGAAGTGTGCCGAGATTCCATGCCCTCGTGTTGTCTTTTAAGTAGCTATCAGAGGCAGGAGGGCTCTAAAGAGCAGGCTGGCCTGTTAGTGACAGCTAGCAATCACCATTTCTCATTCCCTCTACTCCCTGTTACCACAGCTTCCTGTCCCAGGTCCCTTCTGTGATTCATACCTTAGTGTGTGTGTCCCCATGAGAGGAGCATCAATCACTGTGTTACCATTGCGCTATCATCCAGGGCATGTCCCAGCACCAGTTGCTTCAGATACCAGCACATTCTGTTTCCAATTTAGAATCAACCAATAATAAAACGTTAGAGTCTTCACTGAAAAGCAGAGGCACTCATTATGGAAATGGGGGTGGGGGTTGTTTTATGCTTGTGCTATATTTTGTGCTCTTTTCTTCTTTTATTTGTTTTTGACTGCATTGTGACTTCTAACATCATCTTGCCAAAACGAACTTGAGATGAACTAAACTTATGTAGACATGTCATAACATATCATCTATTTCTCTCTTCTTCAGTTCCAGCAATAAGAATGGATAAACTCTAAAACCCAGATCTCCCACATTTAACAGCCATGGGTTTTTTCCTATGTTTTTGTTTTGTTTTGTTTTGTTTTTACTTTAAAGTGAGCCACCATTAGACTTGAGATGTACAGGCATCAAAAAACAAGAAGCACATGTGGATCTGGTGCTATGACACTCACTGTGAATAAGTGTGACCAGATAGTAATCTGCAATATTGTTTTGAGTCCTTTCTAATACACTTTTTCATAATGTTGTGCGTGGTGATTGTTGAGGTCAAATCTTCACGCATCACTGCAGCTGCAGCCCTTCGCTTTCTTGCTGGCGGGTGCATGCAGAGGACTGTGACACAATGAAGTCACCTCTGCAGCCCTGGCTCCATAGTGATGTTAAAAGATCTCTGTCTAGCTGTGAACAAGTGATCTCCACTGGAGGTGTAGAGTATCCTTTTGTATACATTTCATGTTTCTTCTGTAGTGATAGAACAAATAAATTCTACAAACACTCTGTCTGCCCCATCCAGTGAAGTTCACACAAGCATAAAAGAAGCCTTACCCATGTAGGAGGCTGCTCTAGTCTCTTGGACCCCAGGAGGTAAGGAGCAACAGGTCTTGAGACAAGAAGTGTGAGTAATGGACACACAGGAGGAGGCACAGCTAGTTAGCTCTGCTGGCCAGCTAGGTAGTCACTGGTAAGCCTTCTGGAACCCAGCATCCAAAACTCAAGACAGAATGGCGGCTTTCATGTCCTTTCCATTTTAAATAAGCACAAGAACTATTCTCAGCCTGACTTTCTGACACTGTGGGGTGAGGCTTTCCCATTCCTTTACCTGTTTCTCTTCCCAGAAGATTTCTAGAAAACTGCTGCAGGCTTCACCTCCAAGGAGTATGTAAATGTAAACACTGGGCTCTGTTTCCGGTGTGTGCCTGGAATCATCATTAGGGGGCGGGGAAGACCCCTGATCCCATTTCCAGTGTTTCTCAGTCATATTTTCTATCTCTGGTTGAAACCTCCTTAAATTCCTCAAACCCACTGAGATTCACAGGAAACAAAACAAGTCTGGCCACGGGGAATAGGGCTCAGCTGGCAGAGAGCATTCACCTAGCATGAACAGAGCCTTAGGATTCAGTCGCCATAAACTGGTTGTGGTAACATATACCTCTAAATCCCAGTATTCTGGGGGTCAAGGCAGGAGGATCAGAAGTTGAAGGTGCTCTTTGGCTCCATACGGAGTTCAAGGGCAGCCTTTGGTACCTGACACCAGTTTCATAAAAAGAAACAAACAAAAAACTGTTTCTGAATGTTGCCTTATGCCATGGCTTCAACTAAGACACAGAGCTAGGAGCAAAAGAAATGGAGCATTGAGCAATTAGTGAAAGACTTGGAGGAAGTTCTCAGACCACCAAAGTGGGAACTCCATGTTCCTCCATCATTCTGGAAACTTCTGGCTCTTCCTCTGCACCGGAACCTAAAGCAGCAAGCAGCTGGCACAGCCCCCATGCAGAGGTGGGGTCAGATGTAGCTGTTGCCTTACAACATCCTCCTCTTCTGTCTTTTCCCAGGCCACTCCCCTCCACCCAGCACACATACCACCTCTCATGAAACCAAAAGGGATTCCCATGGCCCCTTGAACAGTACTGCCTCTAGCAACCTTGAAGCCTTTGGCTTCTCTATTCCACTATTAACCTCTACCCCTTAGCAAACCCACTCTGGGATTAGCACACAAGAGGTCCAGCTCCAAATTCATCAACCACAGCCCTGCTGGGTATCAAGACTCCCATGTGTCCCAGAACTGGTCTCAGAAGCATCTCAGAGCCCACCCTACCCCACCCACATTGTTCAGTTACAGTTTCTACAGGTCGTTTGCTGAGCATTCTGGAGCTGGGGGCATTCGTGGGACAACTCTCCCATCCCCAGCCATGAGGTATGGGGCCACCCTCC